AATTTTTCTGTCTAGCAATCACATTCAGTATAGATTAAATGGAAAAAAAAAAAAAAAGGAAAAAAGAACCCACCAAAAAACCCAGAAAGAAAGCAGACAGCAGAGAGATGAAGATTTTACCTGAATAAAACAGCAACTTCATTCTCTTCTTTTACATAGAATTTAAAATTCCCAAATCTAAATAAAGGCCATTGATCGAAATGCCCCCCAAAATCATTATGGAAGTTAAGAGATGACACATGCACACAGACTCATAACATAATAATCTAGATATAATTTATTTTTTTTATATTAAAATGAATTATTTGATAGATCACTTACAAACATCAGCTGAAAAAGTAAGGCTACATGGAAAACTGAGCAAAGACTAAAGAGAAGGTAGGATAAGGTTTGAGATAGAGGTTTGAAATCTGGCTACCATGAAAAAGCAAGTAACTGAACAAAGGTCACACCAGAAACTAAAGCCCAAAACGCAAATAAACAGAGCAAACAGCTTTAACTAACCATCAAAGACAGCAAACAGACTATTAAGGAAGCATCAAAGACAGCAAAATGACGTATAATGGCACTAGAATTTGAAACAGCACATCATATACTGAGCAACAAAGTAAAGCAGAACAAGAAATAGTAAGATTTAGAAACAGTAAGGTTTTGCCAAGGTACCAATAGAGCTGACATCTAAGATAGAAGAGAATGGGAAAAGCAGAAATAAACTCACTGAAAGTATTTTAAGTCCTGTAGTTCAGATGTCATAGGAGCATAGTTTATCTAAATGTAGCTCAATTAACAGTACTTAAAAGAAAAAGGAAAGAAGAATTCTAGCAAGCAAATACCAGTAACATTGGACTAAAAGACATTTACAAGCTCATAAATTAGTTTGATGAAATGACTAATCTTATTCTAATAAAAAGTGTTCATCCATTATTATTATCTCTTCCATAGAGATAATAAAATAATAATTATTATACATTAAAATAATTGCTGTACAATTTATACAAGTTCTATAGAAATAACTATTTCCAAGAAGTACACTGCTGGTTTACAATGTGTTACAGCACTAGAATAGCAGGGTTTTTTTCAACATAGCAGTTTAAATTCATCATGGAATATATAAAATTATTACATACTACACCCTAGCCCCTAACATTAAAGTAACATCTTAGAAGCCAGATCAGCACCATTCACTTGTTAGAAAACAAGTACAGAAAATTGTTTTCACACTCTCTTTGAAGTAAAAAACCTATGATACGACTTTAAGCTACTTATAAGCCTTTTGTGAGTAAAACAACTCTCCTCATGATAGAAAAAAAAAATCTCTATGGGTTAGTCCATGTCACTTCCAAAGTAGCCTGCTTTCTTTTAGTTCAAGATTTTTTTTTGCATTCTCTCCTGTCTAGTATTAAGTTATCTCTTATGGTGGAGACTTCTATAATTTCCATTGAAACATTTTTTCTAGAGATAAATACAGGTATCTTCATCCTTTATTACTTTGTTTCACATCATTTCCAGTTTTACTCTCACATATAATGCTATGTCACACTGGATGTGGTACATTTCAAATGTGAGGTAACAGGAAACTAGACAAACTTCTTACTTAATAAAAAATATATAAAATTAAATCGTTTTGACATCTTTTTGGAGGCAATCTCTGTCAAGGATGTCAACCTTGTTGGCCTTCCCCCTGATTTTGATCCACAGGCACTCAACCTTATTGCTACTGACTTCAAGTTCTACAGAGTCAAGAGACTCTCTAACATATAGAGTCACCCCTCCACCTCTCCTACCTTGCCTGTCCCTTCTGAAGAGCTTGTAGCCACCCATGGCAGCACTCCAGTCATACGAGTCATCCCACCATGTTTTTGTGATGGCGACTACATCACACAAATCATATCACAATACTGATTTATGCAGTGTTCTCACAAGATATGGCTATAAACAGAAGCAGTGACCAGTACTAGAAAAGAAATTTGGTTAACATAACACAGTATGCAGACTGACTGTGTAGTCCGTAAACAAAAAGTAATAACAAGGAATATTTTATCCTCCACACCAGAGAAGATGTAAGTAAAATAGTACCTCTAATTATCACTAAAATGAGAGTTTCCTCAAAACACCACAGCAAGAAAACTCCTCAACTTTAGCACAAAAAGCCAAATCTTACTTAACATGGTTCTGTGCAACAGTTTTCTAACAGTTGAGAACAATTTTGTTTCAGAAAGATCAAGTTAGTTCGTCAACTAAAGTGGAATCTTCTTGCCCACTTCTTCATGACTTCTGAGGGGTCTTCTCACAGTTTCTCAACAGCTTTTCAAGATCAGTAAAGTTCTCAAGGAATAATGATGGGATTCTCTACTCCATCCCAATCTCAAAATTTATTTCATTTCCAAGAGTTTATCTAAATTTTTTCTATACATATCCAATTATATATATGTATATCTTGATCTGCTTCTATATGTCTCTTTCGTAAGTTACAGTCCTTTTTGTGAAACAAAGAAATGGAAGGTATAAGTGAAAGGAAACATCATTCTCTATAACCATGGACAATTGCTGTGTCTCTTCTGGGAAGGCCTTCAAGACAGCACGATAATAAAGACTCTGCCACCGTTAACTTGGAGCAGATTGTTTCTGGTGACTTATGAGCTGGGAAAAGACTTCGGGATTCATTACAAATTCCCTAGAGCAGTTTTTTCCACAATTTTTAATGTATTAAGTGTAAACACATCAATTTAATACATCTGGGGTTCTAAACATACACATTGCTGCATTCTTTAATTCAGGAATATAACCAATTAAAAGGAATTTAATTAGTATGATAGTAGAATACAACCTAGTATGAAGTAAAATTAAAAACCATCACAATTACAAAGCATAATTATATGAGGCCCTCTCTCTAAACATAAAACACTGTCTGCTGTTACTTTATGATGACACAGGGTTTAAAACATTGCATTAGCAAATTGATTCAGTCAAGCCCAAATACAATTATGTTTGGTACATATAGTGATATGTTTTTATCTGAAACACTCTGCATAACGCTGCATAGCCAAATTTAAATAATAAGCATCAGACGCTACTTTTATTATTTATTGTTTTGTTTCTGTACTATATTGTCTGCTCCAAAATGGTGGGTTGTAACTCAAAATACCCAGAACTATTATCCTGTCAATTCAGAAGAAAGCAATTTCTACCATTCTAAAATGAAAATGCTGTCTCATATCTCTTTCTCTCCTTCCTTTCCTTTTTCTTTTTTGGAAAAACTAATATTGGTAGATATGCAGTCCCAATGTTTTGATTTTTATAGCCTTTCACATCTACTTAAATCATATCAAAAAAAAACCACAAAAAAAATCTAGTCCAAGCACTGATTAAGTCTATAGGCTCTGACTTCTGTTCAAGACTTGTGTTAAAATACTCAATCAGTTCACTTCTTTCCTTGTGAACAGGTTTCTATTTCATAAAGCCCACTGTCATACACAGTACTAACCAAGCACCTTGAAGGTGGCATTCAGTGCATTCAGCTGTTTGCAAAGCCTTTTGAACATTCTTAAATTATTATGACATTGGAAAGATTTTAATATTTTAGCCTGTCATTTTAAATATTACTCAAGCATATATTTTAAATACAAAGACATCTGTACTTTACCCTTGTTCTTTTTTCTGACTGCAGACAGACAAGGATCACTGCTTCTATGATTTTGCTTGTGTAGTAGAACTGACAACTAATGTCCCAAAAGACCACTTGAGAGACTGCAACATGTAAGTGACGTTTTATCCTCAATCCTGCATCCAAATAACTGGACGAAGAGGTAGAAAGAGAATTGCCAAAGTCATAGCTCTTATGTGAACTTCCATGTACAAAGACAGGGTATGAGAATAATAATAAATATAGTATAAGCAAAAATTATATATAAAAAGAGAGTATTTAAATCTACAGAACACTACTTTCAAACAAAAATTTCCTACAAAATATTAAAGACCAAAAGACATCAGTGAACAGAAACACAGGCATCTAACGGGATAAAAGGAATTGAATCTACATAGGATCAGAAAATTACAACTCAGTGACCCTGAGGGTCACTGGGGCATGGTTTTGACACCTCTGACACGTCTACTTTTAAACTGTTGTTTAGAAGAGCACAGTAACTTCTCATCAACAGCTTCTCTGCCCAGTTATAACTGAACAAAACCAATTATTTCAGAGAAGCTGAAAAAGATGGCACATAACTAGTTGCACCAAACTCTTATTACTCTTTAACTACCCAAACTATCACTCACAGATTGAGTGTCATTCAGAGACTGTGCTATGCTTCAGGAGTATTTGGAGAACCAATTGAGGCAGCCTTGCCTTTGCTCACTGTGAAAAATTCCAAGGATTAGTCTTCAAGGTATGGGACTTGAATATTTAACATATTACAAGGTCTCACCCCTGAAGCCATTTTAGGATTTAGTGATTTCTGGGGAATAAGTGTCAATCATTATCATACTGGCACTAGGAATTCAAAAGCCACAATTTCAAAAGTGGCATCATGAATTATGTTCAACTGCTAAGTGCCTAGGTTCTTGACTTCCTCTTAACTCAGAGCAATCAGTAGCTCTCCTGATAGCTTGGAACCTTTACTTACTACAGCACAGGCAAAGCATTCTCACAGGTGTAAGGCCATCACATGTGGTGATGGTAATTGATACCATTTACATGTATCTTTTTATACTTTACACCCACATTTCTTTATTATACGGATATTCCATATATATATATATATATATGTGAACTAGTTACTACACAATCACAGTTAGTTCATTTTTGCAACAACTTAACTCCCAGTAACTACCCTGTGCAAGAATAGACAATAAAATAGGCACGCAACCAATTATGCAGCGTAGCTGTGGGTGGGTACCTTGCACCTTGTTCCTTATTCCATTGTAACTTGCCTATCTGCTCCAAAAGAGTAACCGTGAAGACAGAAGTCACTGGACTGAATGTTGTATGCAGGAATGCTTACCATGAGTATAGAATGGTTCCTACTACTGATGCAAGTTTGCAGTTTTCTTGCTTCTGCTTTGCAAGCCCAAAGTCAGCCATGATAAAGAAAAAAAAGATTCACATCTCAATAGTCACCCTCTCTGCGTGACAATCAGTGCTCATTCACAACAGCTGAAAAGTTAGGAAAGGGTTGACAGGAGGTTTGGGATTTTTTTTTTTATCTTTTACATTTCACAGAAGTGGACCATATTATCTTTCTGTCTCCACATTCATCAGCAACTTATGTTTGAATCAGGCCTAACCGCCTTAAAAATATTTAAACACACCTCTAATGGTTTCAATCCAAACTATATGACCAGTTTCAGGTTTCTATTAATATATTTCAGTAAACTGTATGACAGTGGTGAGTATCTAATAAACAGTGATCTAATGACCAAATTAATGCTAATTATTTCACTTTCCTTGAAATTATGACAGCAGAAGGGCAGACTTTCTCAGAAATTTAATTTCAAATGAGTACAGGAGGATCTAATAACTTGATAGTTCATGTTCAAAGACTGCATTTGGTATTGAAATAATGCTGAATCTCAGCCTTACCTTTTGACAAAAGCTGTAGATTTAGATGATCATGCAGTTATGTTAATATAAGTGCCTTTTGTGTAATTATTAGGTAGTCTTTCACAAAATGTCACACAAAGTCTTTAGAGATGATATTTTTAATCAAAGTTCCATGCAAGCAGTTCAAGTTTTATTTTTTCAATTCAGTACTTTACTGCTGTCTCAACAATGCAGCTAAGATACATCATACTAATTCATTAAGTCCAAGCACAAAGATCAAAAGAAAGCTATTGTACTTGTTAAACCCTGTTAATAAATTTTGCATGCTAATACTACTTCAGAAGTGGGAAGATTTGTGTGTAAATAACATAGTTTAAAACATTTTAAGACTCCTGTTCTACTTAGGCAGAGCCCATACCATGCCTATTCCAATTGCTTTGAGTGACATAATTCACAAAAAATTTATTTCAGAATGTTACCACTCATCAAAAGCTGCAGATCAGAAGAAATACAGGTAAGAAAAATTAATTTCTGTTGGTTCTTGCTCAGTTCAAGCCTTCAGGATCTGAAAAAGAGGAGATCTCTAATTCAGAAAGGGCCTTTGATAAGAAACCCAAATCTAGATACCCAAGACACAGATCATTTTTCTTTGAACAAAATGTCCAAAGGACTAGCTCTGCAGTGTTTGGGAAATATAAGAAGAAAGAATACTAAATTAACAGGATCCCTGAGAAGCCTCCTTTTGCCTCTGAGTTAAGGCAGTGCTAAGGCAGTTCACTCCAGGGAATATTAATCCCAAAAGGACCAGAGGTTTTTGCAATGTTGATACTTCCTTGAATTAATTAGGGTGAATCATTCTTAATTCCCTCCTTTGGAATCCTTCAAATAATATTCTATGAAGAAAGAGTATTAAGACATTATATTCTATGAAGAAAGAGTATTAAGACATTACAACAATCAACAAATTGGTGCTTGAAAGACTTAGTAAAGGAAAGATGAAAGCTGGATATTTCAGTTCTGGAAGTAGTCTATTTTAAATCAACATTAGCTATTATCGGGGTGGGGGGGAAGAAAGCAAGAAAATCAGCCAGATAGAGTAAATATAGTCTCTTCTTTTTAGGCTCAAGTCCTCAGAAATGGAAAGAAAAAAACCTTTAATTGGCAACTGCCTTTTCCAAATTCTGCTAAATTGTCTTGACACCAGCAAGAAGCTCCTATATACAACTGGTGCTGCCAGAGCTAAGGAATGTAAAGCACAGGACAATCAGCTTTACATTAAGCATAAATATTTTTTCGTAGCTTTTCAAAGCCTGTAATACAGAATTGAGTGAAAAAGAACTGGCAAATGTCGAACAGCATGTCAAACTAGTGAAATTGCTTCTTTTAATTTATGTAAGCATCTATCTGCAGCTTATAATTTGGTCTACAAGTTTTAATACTCCATGATTATTTGGTATTTGATGCCAAAAGTTGCTACAATAACTAACAAACAAACGAAATACCTTCTGAGAACTGTGAGAGGCCTGCCTTGCATATCATTAAATGAAGATATGACCATACAGGAAAATGACCCCTGTTAACTGTTAAGCATTGTTTCAGCTATGAACTGCAGCTTGATTAATGAGGACCCACTGCAATAATTCATATTTATCAATGTCCTGAAACAGGAATTGTGAGAGAAAGATAACTCAATTCTTGCTCAACTTCTTATGAACTTTACCAACATGTCACCCTTTAGCACAGAGAGGCACTTGCATAAATCCTTGATCTGATCTAATGAATCATATGATCTTATTGGTCACTTCTGAAATTCAAAATTCTGCTTATTAAAGAAAACATTCTTCCTGAACTATCTCAATTTGTCCACAGTTACTTCAACTAATGGTACACCAAGCATTAAGACATAGCTCTTAAGTATGGGGAGCTAGACCTAACCTTCCAGAGGCTAGACTTAATTTACACATACTTGTGAGGATATAGATGCATTTAATCACAAATCTCAGAAATTTCAGAAAAAAATAAAAACCTTACAGCTTCCAAATATTTTCTTACAGTTTCTGTTCTCACACAAAAAAAAGCAACCTACCAATTAACAGAAGTGTTGTGAGTACTTGCTGGAACTGTATGAATGCTGACATATGATAAATATCAGTAGAATAAAAGTAACCAGAGAAAAATGGAAGAGCCCTTAGAGAATCATACTCAGAAAGTAAGTGAAAGCTTTGTAAACCACTAAATTAGATGAACCAAAACAAAGTCTGGAAAGAACAAAGACAAAGAGATAGAATAGAACAGGAGGAAAGGAGAGGGTAAGCAAGCCATCCAGCCACTGCCAACATCAGGATGCAGAAATGCTTGCTGCATCCGTCCATCCAAAGTGGAAATTATAAGCTGATCTAAGTGATTCAAAGAAAGATGAGCTGGTAGCCCTCTGATATAAAAACGAACTATTCCTGCATCTCTCTTGCACAATCTCTGGAAACCAGATCGCACGACACTTGTGTCTTGATATGTTTAGCTCACCCTTTTTCTAGGCTATCTCCATGCTACTTTAATCTAGTCCCAAATCCAATATTGCAGTCCTAAAATCATTGACTTGTCTGACACTTGTTGCTCTCTGTAGTTTTGCAATGCAGGAATAAAACCGGCATTACTGAGGCAAATTCCTTATCCTCCCAAAATAACAAACTCCCTCATTTTGACTTGTTCTACTTCCCAGAAATTAAAAATTACTCCTTTTGCACTAAAAACAAAGCAAACAATGGTTATTCTATAGTACATCTGAAATTAAAAAAAAAAACCAACTAGTGGATGGCCCATTTTCCTGAGGAAGCAGTCTTGGAGCTCTAATGGTACCAATGGAATGATCTATCTGCCCAAAAAAAGAATTGTCTGTTGCTGCAAAATAATGATTGCTTTTATCTGCACATTTCATTTTGGAAAAATTATACATTTTCCAGTTTTAAATACTATTTTAATATTTTTCAAGTTCATGTGAATTACATGCATAACACCACTACAACTTTTTGTACCATCCTAACACTAGAGTTTGTAAATTGGGAGTAATGGTAGGTAAAACAACCTAGCCAACAAGTTTTCTAAAACAAGATTTCCATGACAATAGTTTTTGGTGCTTTGTCTACTGTGCAACCTCAACTGATGCAATTTCTTTACAGCTAATTTCTCTAATGGTTCAAAGCTTGGCATCCTTAAAAATAAAATATTATTTTTAGTCTATTCAAAGACAATAAAAAACTAACAAATTTTCACCATTAGATGGATTTTTATACACTATGGCTAGATATGCAATTTCACTGGCAATTCATTATCAATAGACACGCCTCTCCACAGTATTATCAAATTTACTACATTTTGAACTCTGATTGTAAACATTAAGTCTTGAGAGTTTTTCGACTGTGTATCAGGAATCTAGTAAATTAAACGTTAATTTTCTTTTAATTCATTAAAAAATAGTCAAACAACCACGCAAGACAGTCTTCAGATAGGAAGAAAAATTAACACAGTATGATAGTCATAATCCTTTAGAATCTGAACCACCCCTCTTCACTTGTTTTCATTTGTTTATATTGTGTTTAGAGTAGCAGAGTAAGTGATAACAAAGTAAGATAGCTTCAAAAAAGATTAACACTCTGTGGAAGAGCGCATGAAGGGAAGATAGAACTATGGAACAATAAGTAGGTTGACTTGACTAGTATCTTAACCTCCTACAGAATGATGTCTTCAGCTTTCATAATAGGCGAATTACAAAAACTTTCTAAATCTTAGCAGTCTCTTTAAATGAGCGCTTTAGATACATGCAACGCTTTTTTCTCTTTTTATTGACAAATAAATATCTGTTTTTTCATTTGCTATTTCATTTCCCAATGATTTCAACTAGTAGATTTATCTTCTACAGTAAAGACAAGAGGAAAATTATCTAGATATTACATCTTAACAACACTTCTTTCATACTGGCACATTTGTTGCCTTAATTTATATTTGAACCCTATTTGAAAACGCCATTAATTCCTCCTAAAATCAAATATGCACAGAAAAACCAAAAGCACAGCAAAAAAGGAGGATGAATGGAATATCAAATTCATCACATATGTGAACTTCAGACCTGCTCATGTCAGATTTTCATTGTGTACCCACTGAACAGTTTCTTTCTCTAAACTGAAGGGTTCAGGATGAGGCAAAATTCCTTTGCTTCTCTTCAGCAAGAAAGTTTGTCAGCAACTTATTGAGTTACATTAATTCAGAGTATAAAATTAGAAGTTTAATTTTATTTTCCCTAAAAGCATATGCCAAAATCAAGACAATTTGCAATTTAATCAACAGTAGTACATACTTACTCTACTCTTTCCCATCAACAGAATGGGAACAGAATTAATTTCTCCTCATTCCCAAATAAACCTTCTAGCTATTCTATCATTCTCCTTTCTGTATGCTGTTATCAAATATCTCTAGCTTAGTTGGTTAGAGCATGTTGCTAATAACAACAAGGTCTGTGAGTTCGATCCCCGTAGAGTCCACT